CCCCCCCCCCCCCCCCCCATAACGCTTGCGACCCTCTGGACATCTTGCCACCTGCCAGCACGGCACCCAGTCTGGTGCTGACCCTTCTTACGAAGAATAACTCAATGGAAGCCCGCCCTCTGCAAAAAGCAAAGCGAGAACCTCCAGCGTAAACTTATTTCGGCCCCAGGTGGACTAGAATGCATTCTTAGCAAGCAAAATGCGGAGGAGACGGTGGCCAAATGCTCCGTTTGGAAAAACGCCCACCGGCCCAGAGAAAAAGGCAGAGGGACGTCGAGGGGGAAGAGGACTTTCTGGGAGGCAAAGGAGGATGCGGAGAGCAGCTGCGCGTGTTCGGGTCCTGCTCTGGTGAGCAGGATGGAGAAGTCGCCCACCCGGGCGTCGCAGAAGTGGCATCTTCTGCAGGGCGCCCCCTTGTGGAGATGGGGAGAGGCGCTCCTTCATTACGGCACCCCTTTCCCCATGGTGGGGACACCCTCTGAATCACATTGCGCCTCCGTGCACCCCTCCGCAGCAGCCAATTCCTTCTCCAACAGCCCCCTCCCAATATGGCGCCTTGTGTTCTCTCCCAGCCCCCCCTTTCGTGGCCAGTTCTGCCCTCCTCCTTCGCCGGGGTGGGTGCAGGATCAGCATCTCTCTTGCACGGCTGAGTTGCACGCCGTTGCTCCTGTTCCCAAAATAACCTCATCACTCCCGGTCTCTGCTGACAAGGTATCTGGATGCAAGAGGAGACAGGCCCCCCATACTCGGGTTGGTGGGGTAGGAGGGGAGTGCAGGGAGAGATGGGGGGCAGGAGGAGGTTCTGCCCCCCAATGGGGGACACACTTGCCTGTTGCAATCAGAACAAATTGGAGCGTCGGGAGATTACACTTTCCTGGAAAAGCTTGTGCTTGTCTGGCCCATCCCTTACTTCCCCTTCCCCCAAATTCTCACCCCATAGATTCCCCTTGGCTGCTGTTTACTTAACGCAGGCCCAGGCATGGCCGAGTGGGCGGGGGACTCCTCAATTAGATCCCTGGTACAAGGGGCGGACGTAGCCCTGGGGAGTCAGGGCTGCGCACGCTGTCCTCATCCGTCACGCGGAAAGCAGGGCCCGCCGGTCCAAGGCCTTGAGAAGGGACGGAGAGGCTTTGGGTGGGGGGCATGGCTGTTGGGGGCCAGGAGAGAAACCCGGCCCAATCTCGTGAGCGCCGCAGCTCCCCGTGCCCAAAATCTGCCCGCTTCCATTTCGGATCAACTGACTTTGAGGCAGGGAGCTGAAAGGGCAGACAAACATTGCTAACCGCGTGTCACTTCTTCCCAAGCATCAAGGCGGCTTTTGTCTAAAAGAATGCATTTTTTCAGGACAGGCTCCAGTGATTTTTTTTCCCCCCTTATTTGCCCTGAGAACTGTTTCCAGTTCTAGCCTTGAACATGTGCAGAATGCTTTCTGCTTGCCTTCAGACAAGCAGGACATCAGAGCAAGCTGCTGGCTGTTATTCAAAGCTAGGCTGGGGTGCACCCACTCACCCACCCACCCAGATGACTTTAGGCCATATATGAGCCCTTTCACCAAAAGGGCGAGTCCCTGAACAGCCCACCCAAGCAGAACTTCACCCTTGCATTTTTTTCCAGAAAACACAGGAAGGACAGAATGCATTCCACCCATCTTCACTGTCCGGTGGAGGTCAAATTATCCCAGCTGTACGGTTTTATGACGAGAAGACCCACAGCCCCTTGAAGGTCCACGGTGGCGTCAAGGGAGGAACCGGTGTTGTCGTTTTTTTTAATTATTATTTTTTAATGGGATGAGAGCGGAGGAAATAAGCAAAGACGAGTCCAAGACATGTTGCACAAGAACGTCTATAATCAACAATGTCCAACAGTAAAATTCCACCAACGAAACTAAGAAACTTTCAGATTAAAAAAAAAAACACAAAACCAAACAACCGAAAAATCTTCTGTTAAAGCTGAAAAAAACCAGAGTTTCCCCTGAAAATTGACCCACGTCAATTTCCCACGTGGGAAAGTTGACCCACGTACGTTTCCCAGTCTAACACAAGAAGACGTCCCGCCTCTTTCGGCGTTCCACTAAACATCACACACGATATGTTGCCACTTCATCAAAACTCCATCAAACGTTTGGGAAATCACTCCCAAATTGCGAGGGGGGCGGGGAGAGAGACACACGAAAACTTTGAGGAACTCATCTTCCCCTTCCACCCCGCTGCAACTCCTACTTCCAACACGGACTGGTGGGAAGGTCAGCCATTTTGTTTGTCATCTCCTTCGAGCAACCGAGCAGAAGACTTCAAAATGGTTGCTGCCGGATAAACAAACCCCCGATCCCTTCCCCAGGAACGGAGTCCGATCTGTGGATCCCTCCGTTGCCCAACAGTGTTCCCAATCCAAACGTTGGCAGAGAAAGGGGCTCTTCACCCACGCTGATCCACGGGAACTGGATGTACATGTGTGTCTGGTCTACGGGGAACTGGCGATTTGGGAGGAGAGATGCAGGCGAGCGGCGGAAGAGCCCCTTTGTCCGCAAGGCTACATCAGAAGGAACCCCATGGCAAAAAGGAGAGATCTCGCAGAGGCAACACTGCCGAAATACCAAAATTGTGCGAACTTTCAAAGTAAAACAAAAAACAAAAACATCTGAAATGTTGCTTTTGGGTCACACGGCGGTTGGAATAAGGCAGACCTGCAATCTTCCTTGTTCTGATTTGTGGCACTAACATGAAATGCAACCCTTTAGAGCGCTGGGGGTTTGCTTTTAACCCCCCTCCCCAGATGTCTAACCTTATCAGCACGGCCCGTGAATAAGCTGTCAAAGGGAAAAGAGAAAGACAGACAAGGCAATCGAATTGAATTATTGCGAAGAAACGGGTGTGCGAAGTACAGGCTGGAGACTTCAACTCCCAAATCTCTTTTGGCAGGTGGGCACACCGGTGGGAGCTGAACTTCACACTTGGGCTGGACCCTGCCAAGGAATCGACAGCTTTGAGGCCAAGAGAGGGGTCCTGAGGAGGGGGAAGGGCTGTCGCTATAAAATTTGCTCGGACTTGACCGGAAGGAGGTTGGCATCCCTCGTCCGGTTTCTCCTTGGAAAGCCAGAATCCTGAGGGGAGAGGAGTCCCTGCTTCCGTTGCGGCAGAAACGTCTCAGTTCCAGTGTCCCCTCAAATAACTGGAGGGGAACCAGGCACCTGTGCATCGAGCCCCTCTTGGTGCAGCATCCGAGTCGAGCGAGAGCAGCGTGGGGGGCAATGTCCATTGTGCCCCGTCTGTTCCGAGTCCTTGCTTGCCCACCACAGAGGTCCAAGGCTGCCTGTGGGAGCTCAGCTAAGCCACCCCTCGCCTCATACTTTGTAGTAGATGTTGGCCGGGCTCTGCGGTGGCATCTCTTGCACGATATAGACGGGGTGGCCGTAGTCGCCGCTCACCTTCTCGTAATGCGGGCAGAACGCACTGTCTGAAGTCCTGAGTGGGATGATGATGTCGCTTGGCTCAGAACCGTTGTTGTTGGCGCCACCTCCCCCGCCAGCTCGCTTGGGGCTGGTCAGGGTGCTGAGGGACAACGGTGGGTGGTGAGACTCGCTGTGCTTTGCCCGGTGGTGGCGGTAACACAGGGCCCCCGTCACGGCCGCTGCCACCAGCAGGACAAAAGCTGCTCCCCCAGCAGCGCCAGCAATGATGGGCACGTTGGACTGTGGTAAAGGGCCATTTTCTCCACCCACCTTCCCGGTGGTGTTTCCAGAGGGGGGTCCTGTGGGGGAAGGAAAGCAGGCATTAGTCTTGCTCCCATTGAACCAACCTGTTAGACCGCCATGGGCCGGAGGAGGACAGGGAAAAGCTCTGACCCTCCCTGACAATGGACACAAATGGTTGAAAAGTGGCTGGTGCATCGTGCAGTCCCAAAGGAACACCTGCCTGCCCAGCCAATCGTTAGTGTCCGTCAACTCCGATTAATAGAACTAATTGCCTTCCAGAAACCTGCCTCGGCCAGGCTCGCAGGGATAGTTCAGTCTTCAAGGCCCATCACTTCCTACCCTGCCCCCCTCCAATTCCCTCTTCTATTCCTGCTGAAAGAGGATAGGACAGACAAACTCTTCACGGGGAACCCACTATTCCCCCGCCGCTTCCCTGTCTGTGGTTGCCAAAGTATCAGGTCTGTTACCTAGACTGAGACAGGAAATAGGGGAGAAGGCTGACCCACTGCTTCTGCCCCAGCTAAATCTCCAATCTCAGCTGACATGAAGGTCACCTGGGAGACCAGACGCAGGAAGCCAGGACCCTGGTCCTCCATCTGTTTGGAGGTAACCACCTCCTTTTCTACTCTAGCAATGTCTATGGCTACAAGTGAGTCTCCTGTCCAGGGGCCTTTCATTTATGTGCCAGGCATTTGTGGAAAAGAATAGATTTTGCTCAGGCCCTCCAGAGGAGTACTTGTGTGTGCTATGGGAGGAGGAGAGAAAGGGAAAGGAGGAAGACAGCCAGGACCTCCAGGAAATCTTCCAGAAAGGTTCAGTGCAGTGGGAAATATTTGGGTTCCACAGCAGCTATCTCAACCCTCTAGGACTGCAACTTCCCTCCCAGCTGGCAGATCACTAATCCTGCTGGCTTAGGGTGATGACAGTTGCAACGCGACGTTTGAAGGGTGCTCAACGGCCTGGCTAGGAGGTGGAGAGAAATTGCCAGGGGTGGCATGGAAGAAGGGCCGTACCTGGGATCATCTCCTTGTTGGGCTCGGCAGCACCTGGCGTCCCTCGCTCCTTGTCAGCAGGTGAGGCTGGTACGGACTTCTGGGATTTGGAGCCAGTGTTGGGATCTGGTGGGCAAAGAGAAGGGGTAGGCAAAGGGAAAACTGGGGCCGAGGAAGGCGGGGAAGTCCAAACAGCGAGAAATGCTCCACACCCCAACACAGTCACTCTGGTCCCCTCCCTGGCACCCAACAGCTGCCATAGGGACATCTGCGAGGGGAGTGGATCAAAATAAGTGAAGGTGGCAGTTCTGATCGTACAATCAAAGCCCTGCCCTTTCCATGAGCACCCACATGTAAAGAGGGGCACAGCTTTGAGCACACATTACAGTCACCATCTTAAGCCCCCCTTGGATACACATGGCTGCCATTCACACAAGGGCCTTGACTTGATTTTACCTAGTTTCTGTGTACACGTTATACAAGGATCCATAAACTCATCAAAGGAGTTGTGTTCCCACAGCACACTAAGCTGCTAGCCAAGGGTAGTTCCTTACTATCTAAGCCAGTGTTTCTCAACCTTGGCAACTTTCAGATGGGTGGACTTCAACTCCCAGAATTCCCC